CATCTACAAAATACCTGCACAACACCTGAAATAGTTTTGATTGAATAACTAGCCAAGTTGACATATCAAAGAGACCATCACAAACTGCTACTTGTCCTACCAGTTTTGAAGACATCCTATAAAGCCTTATTAATATATATATTTTTTAAAAAGCAGTATTGCTGCAAGCACAATCAGACCCATGAAACAGAGTAATAGAGAGCTTAGAGATAGACCTGTATATATGGGAACTTAATATAAAAAACAGGCAACACCACAAAGTTTTGAATTAAATAAAAAATTATTTTTTTTACAAAGTTATTTAATACCGAGTATAAGTTGCTTCATGACGGGGATATGTTCTGAGAAATGGGTTATTAGGTGATTTCGTCATGTGTGAACGCTTGGGGGCCATGATGAACAAAACAACATGAGATTAAATCAAGCACAAGAGAAAATGATGAATCAAGAGAGACGGTAAACATGAGATATATGAGGCCACTGCTGGCATAACACAGCATACTGTTTTACAATAAACGTTTTTTTTTGTTTTGTTTTGTTTTTATTTATTTTTAAAGATTTTTATTGGGGAATTGGGGGAAGGGGAACAGACAAGTTGCTGTCGTTTTGTTCTTCAGTCTAGTTGTGGAGCACGTTGCTTCACTGGCCCAAATTGGCACCATCATTGCGATCTTCCCAGGTGAGGCAGATCAGTTGCTGCCTTCTGGACGGCAGCTCACTGCGGCTGCTGGCCGCTCACGCTGGCTGCTGGCTACACACGGTAGCCCATGGCAACCCACTGCCACAGGGGCTGCAGCCTACGCCGTGGCCAGCGACTCACAGCAGCCCAGCTCCAGGTTGAGCTGTTGTTCAGCACTGTTCCCTTCCCCCCAATTCCCCAATAAAAATCTTTAAAAAAAAAAGAATTAACTACAACTAGAGATAGGAGTAATGAAGAATTAACTAGTAAGAAGTAGAGAGATGGCTAAAAAATATAAGAATAACAGATATAAGAAGACTTACCCTTAGGTCCTAAATAGAATCCCCCAAAAGACCTCCCCACCTCAAGGGCTGAGGTGCAGACCTTGTTGGAAAGAGTATGGCCGTGGCTCACTGGATGACAGAGAAGTTGCTGAGATGTCACACTGGCAGAACTTAATAGAAATCTGCCCTCTAGCATTTTTTCATAAATCTTCCCTTTAGGATGCTAAGAAAAGCTGTTTATGGGGCAGTGTCTCACCTTAGAAAAACCCTGATGTGGTGCCAGAGGAAGCTACCAGCTGCTGGAATCCGGGGGGTGGGGGGTGGGGGATATTATTGAAGGCTTACTACATGCCAGGTACTGACTGGTACTAATATAAAACAGTGGACAAAATAGGCATGGGCCCTGTCTTCAAAGAACTTAAGGTTTAGTGGGAAAGACAGACATAAAAATCAAAATCACAGATATAATTATGATGACAATTGTTATGAATGACATGAGGGGTGCTTACAAGTGAGTGTAAACAAGAGATCTAATCTAAACTAAGCCAGGAAGCAAGGGAAGGCCTGAGACCTGAGTACTAGCCAGGTTTAGGTGTGTGTTGTGAGGAGGGGTGGTTGCTGAATATCCCAGGAAAAGGGAACAGCTCATTCAAAGGTGCAGGGTTGAGGATACACATGGAGTGTGAGAAACTGTGTGCCTATAGTATAGTGAACAAGGGGGAGATTAACAGATAAGGAACAGATCATGCAGAGAGTTGCAGATTGTTATTAAGGATTTTGGACTTATGAGAAGCCACTGATAGTTTCAAAGCTTGTGGTACCATGTCCTGACTTAGGTTCTTTTCTCTCAACATTTTATTATAAAAATGTTCAAACATAGTGGAGAGAATTATACAATGAACACCCATATTGTAGACTAACATACACTTTACAATTACTATTTTGCTCCTGACTTAATTTTTAAATTACATCACATTGAAAAGTATTTAGGTGTTAAAAAGGAAAAAAATAAATTTAATCTCTTCTTCCCAGGAAGGATACAAGAAAGTTTAGAATGGTATAGCCTAGCCAACATAATGATTAGAAATTAATAAATGCACAAAAGCACAAGGAATCATTGCAAAGTTCAAAACACAATTATTGGGGAAAACCGTGTTAAAGTTTTTTTCTCAGGTACACCCTATCTCATTTCATCTTTGTGAACTATGACTCCAGCTCCAAGATAATAAATCTTCATACAACCCTATTTCCTCATATTAGAACTCAAAATAAAGTGCTTAAATCTCCAAAAACTCCACAAACACTAATTTAGTTTCTAAGATACTTTGCATTTCTCCAGATAAGTGAATTGATGAGGCCCTGATAAATGGTGATGGGGATGGTAGGGTAGGAGATAAAGAGGAAAAGGTAATTTTTTTTTTTAATGTACAGGAAGTAGAATTGATGAGGAGGGCAAGAGAAAAGAAAGTTTTAGCAGAGACATTTAGAGGGCAGAGGAGAGTTAGATTATTAAAATGATTATTTTTATTTTAATTTTGGACATGCTTATTTTTATAAGCCTCGGAAATATCCGGGTAAATATTCCATGAGGCAGCTGGAATTTAAGCATGGAACTAAGGATGGTGTTCGATGCTGTAAATATCAATTTGGAAACCAGAAGCATATAGGTTCCTGATTGAAACCATGAAAGCAGATGATGTTGCCTCTGAATAATATGTAAAAGAGATCCTGAGTCATCACCAAATCTCTAGATCTCAAATACCCTAAATACTGATGCTATTTCAGGTGACTATTTTAAACCAAGGAAGAATCAAATTGCCAATTCTTACAACTCAATAATAAAAAGTTTAATAATCCAACTAAAATATGGGCAACATATCTGAAAAAACATTTCTCCAAACAAGATCTAAAATGGTCAATGCCCTCCCCCTCCCCCCGAACACACAAAGATGCTCAACATTATTATTAGGGAAATGCAAATTAAATCCACAATGAGATATTACTTTACACCCACTAGGATGTCTAGAATTAAACGGCAGTTCCTCAAAAAGTTAAACAAAGTGTTATCATACAACCCAGCAATTCTATTTCCAAACAAACTGAAAATGTATGGTCATACGAAAACTTGTACATTAATGTTCATAGCAGCATTATTTATATTAGTTAAAAAGTGGAAATCACCCAAAACTCTATCAACTGATGAATAGATAAATAAAATGTAGTACATCTATACAATGGACTATTATCCAGCAATGAAAAGGAATGAAATACTAATACATGCCACAACATGGATGAACCTTGAAAATGTTATGCCAAGCTAAAGAAGCCAGTCACAAAGGACTTCATATTATATGATTCCATTTATATGAAATGCCCAGAATAGGCAAAACTATAGACAAAATAGATTTGAGATTCCTTAGAGCTGGGAGGTTAGGGAGGGAGATGGGCCATGACTGTTAATGAGTACAGGTTTATTTTTGGGGGTAATGAAACTCTTCTAAAATTGTGGTGATGGTTGCACAGTTCTGTACATATAATAGAAACCTTTTGAATAGTACACTTTAAATGGGAGTATTGCATGGTATATGAATTACATCTCAAAAAATGGTTTTTAAAAATCAAACGGCTTCTTACCATTACCAAAGTACATCACCAACCAGTTACTGTACTTTTTTTTTTTAATTGGACAGGTAAACAACAGGTGCAGAGAGGTCTCGACTTCCAAATTTGAACTCTTTCCACTGCACGAGCACTGTAATACCAAGACAGTTGATCTAATAGCTGGGATGGCTAAGTGACTAACCAGCGGGAACATATACAGCATGGAGCCCTGGACAAAGGGATGATTCACATCCCAGGTTGGGTAGAACAGGATGGCCGATTTCTTCACACTACCTAGAATGGTGCACAATTTAAAATTATGTTGTTTATTTCTGGAATTTTCCATTTAATATTTTCAGACTATAGTTGATTACTAACTGAAATCATGGAAAGCAAAACCACAGATAAAGGGAGACTATTGTATACCATGCTGTTGGTTGATGGCCGAATTAATCTTCCCTCCTTGTGACATTACTATAGATGTACATGCCTATAGCACTTAAAATCAAGTTTGCAAGTGTATATTTATTTTTTTTAAGATTTTATTGGGGAATTAGAGGAGGGGAACAGCATCGGGGAATTGAGGAAGGGGAACACACAAGTTTCTGTCCTTTCGTTCTTCAGTCTAGTTGTGGAGGACATCGCTTTACTGGCTCATGTAGGTATTGTGATCATTAAGCTCTTCCTGGCTGAGGCAGATGGTCGCCGGCCATTGGACGGCCGCACCGCGGCTATTGGCAGCTCAGGCCGGCTGCCAGCTGCTCAGGGTAGCTTACTGGGGTCCACTGCAGCCTACGCAGTCCCCGGCGACTCACGGTAGCCCAGGTCGAGCTGTTGTTCACCATCTTAGCTGTACAGGGTGCAGCATTACTGGCCCCCATGTGGGATCTGAAAGGGGCCCTGCTGCTCAGAGCTGGCGTCCAAACCAGCTCTTAACCAATGCACCACTCAGCCGGCCCTACAAATATGTATTTAGAACAGAGGTTATGAATAGAGATTATGTCTAACTTCAGTGTATCAAGATCTGGTACAGTGCTTTGGCATTTAATAGGTGCTCAAATGAAGGTTATTCAAGAAGATCTACAACTAAGGATAAATAAATGTAAAGCACAAAACCCAATACATGGATATCTTTCCTCTTCAACCAAAAGGTACGAAAAAAGACAGAAACTAATAAAGCAGAAAAACGAAAGATAGGAGAAAGGGAGGGCATCTCTTTCCGCCCCCCTTCCCCTGCCCACGACAGTTTCCTAGGACCAATTCAGAAAGGAATCAGGCGTGACTGGTGACATCATTGCGCTCCGTGGTGATATCACTGTACCCCTTGGCAACCAGCACACAATCCAACCCACTGGCTTAATTTCCCGCTTCACAGAGACCCAGAGACCGGAGGGGGGGGCCGCGAGGGGCGGGGGCCTACGTCACATCCGGTTCCCGACGCGCCACTGCTGGAAAGGGAAAGCCGAGTGCTGAGGGGCGGAGCCTAGAAAGCGCGCGTTCTGGGAGGGGGCGGAGCCGGCTTAAGGGTGCCACGTCACGTCCGGGAGCTTTAGAGCCCGTGCTGAGGCGGTGTGGAGCGGTTCGGTTACCAGCGGATTGGAAACTTGGTGTGTTCTGGGAGGCTGCGGCGGACCCTCTATAAAGAAAGCAAGAGGTTGGCAGCTTCGATTGAAGCACATCGAGCTGAGCAGCGGCAGTAGCTACAAGTCATGAGCGACAGCGGCGAACAGAACTACGGCGAGCGGGTACGTAGAGGTGGTGCAGGGGGCGGCTGTATGATCCCAGCTTCTTGCGTCTCTTTCTAGGCCCATCGGCCTCGGACCGGGAGACGGTCGACATAGGCTGAGAAGTCTGAGGCCGGGAGGATGGGAGTCGGTTTTAAAAAGCCTTTGTGGATAGTGTTTTTAGTCGTGAGGAGACCACAGGCAGGTTTATGTGGCCTCGTACTCGAGTCGGCGGTTTTTTTCCGTTATAAGGGGGGATTAAAAATGGCCGCTGCGTCCCCTCGGTGTTGGGGGAGGGGAGCGGTATCTTATTTCGCCGTTGCTCTCCTGCGAAGGCTCGCCGCAGCCATCTTGGGCTGGCGGGCTTGGCGCGCCGCCAGAGGCACAAAATGGCGGAGGAGCCGCGCGCCGATGCAGGCCGGGGCCGCGCCTCACAAGGCCGCGTGGGGAGGGTAGGAAAAGAAAGGCTACGCTGTTAGGAGTCTTTTACCCGATGTGTAGGTTAGGAAAGGACCGTCTTAGGGACCCGAAAGGATGGAATCTAGTGTGTTCTTGGGACTTTTAGATATGGGGAAAACTTGTTTGCGGTAAATTCTAGGCCCGTTAGTTTGAGGGCTTTGTGTTAGGCCTAAATCGAGTACTTCTCTTTGGTACTGAAAGGGCTTTCAAAGCAGAACTCGTTATTAGAGTATCCAAATGGAATAGACCGCGAGGTCTCTTGAGACTCTCCTTTTATGGAGTAGATACTTATCCACTGGATTGTATAGTAGAAATAGGCGGGCAACAATTTATAGCGCCGTTATTTTCTTTGTTTTGAGGTATTCTGATCTGTGGATCACAACTTGTGCTTTTCCGTAATGTTGAGTCTCTACCTCCCAGGTGAGGAGTTCGGTGAGGGTTGCATGAATAAAACAGCTCCCAGCATGATGTAAAGCTTGGTTGTGGAGTGGGGGTCCTACTGAAGATGCAACAATATAAGGTTTGTCCTCGAGTCTTAGATATTTGGAGGTTAAGGAGAATTAGTTAGGGTGATAAAAAGCACCATAAAACTTGATCGGAATAAGTTGGGTATTTTTACAGTTTGTTGTTAGGCTTTTCTGTTTAAGCCTCAATAGTAATTGTCAGGTAAATATATCCAAATACCTTAGCAAATGCGTATAAAACAGATTTGAGGGTGATTTAAAAGTAAACTATGTTAATCTCCTGGTACATTAATGAACTTACTGTGTAACTTTGGAGCCAAATATGTTTAATTTGGGTTGAACTAAGCAAGCCTCGCCTTTTCATATTCAGATAAATACTGCCTTTTTACATTTTTCCCTAAGACGATTGATTCTATTGTCACCAGTGTGTGATTATTTTTTTAATCTCTTGGCTATTTTATGGTTAGAAAGTTCGGATTGGGCTCACAAATTGTTATATCTGTGACTTCTAGTTTCTACCAGTTGAATACACTGGAAACTAATCACTGGTGTTTGGACTGGTAATGGAAAACATGGTAATTTTAAGTCCTCAATTATTAAGTTATTGGGTATTTTTGCGCTGTTTAGGGACTACAAAATGACTGGTTTCTGACTAGCGGCACTCTTGGTTGAATAATATACCTGAGTAAGTTGTGTCGGTGTGCTTGTGGAGATGAAAAATTGCCCAAAGGAAAATAAATTAGTATATTTAACATTAAGGGAGGAAACGATTGTAGGAATTTAGGTCCTGGTTTGAGACAGCTCAGGAGACTTCATCCCACTAGAAATTTTTGAAGTTGTATTTTTTTCTAGTAGAGTATGTATACATCCTTGTATTTTCCACAATGCTGCTACATATAATAGGTATCAACTAAATTATTACGGAATGAGGAAGCTATAAAGTAACTTAAAACTACATATCAGAAATTATATATTTTGACTTCCTGGAAGAGATTTTCAAAACTGAAGTTGTGGGGTATTTCCATTTTGTTTGGTTTGGTGTTTGTTTTGTATGTTGATTCTTTTCCAACTAGTGTTTTAGAACTTGACGTTGTTAGACCTAAAACACGTGTTGGATTAAAAAAGAATGCTTGGCAAACCATAAAGATCAGTGGAACAGTTAAACTAAAATGCCATAAAAAGGGCTAGCTAGAGCAGTCAGGCCTGATTGGCTAAAAATTTCCTTTTGAAAGTGCCTGAAAGCTGAAAAGTTGCATTCAGGGCAGTAATCTTGAACATGCCTGGAGCCTGAAAAACTATTTTCATTCCACTCTAGGCTCTCAAACATTCCAAACTGTTTATGTAAATCACTAATAGAAATCTAATCAGTTCAACTGTAATCTCCCCACTTATTTATCTAAATCTTTAACACACACACCCAGTGTAACTAACTCTAGGAGTTTTTTTCCCCCCAATCCTTTAGACTTTGGAAGTTGTTCTTTCCTAAACAGACTGGTTGTGTGTGCACAATAAATAGTTATCTTCATTTTGGTCATTCTTAGAACTGGTTTAGTGTGTCCCCTTGGCTCATTTTAAAGGCATAGATAGGGTGTGTTCTTGAAATTTTGTGGTTTTATGTCAAAATTTACCTTTATTTGAGATTTTTGTGTCAAAGTTGATTTACATTTAAAGTGTCTCTAATTTAGAGTTGACTTCCCTGATCTGCCCAAACCCATACAAAAGTAAAATGTTTTTCATCTCCAAATTCATTTTCTTAACAGTAATTTTTAAAAATTGCTCACAAACATTTATTTTGCGAAGGGGTTGACTTAACACCTTTGCGGAGAGGGGCACTCTTAGCAGTTATGTAACAATTTGGAAGATTAATGTGATAAAGAGTTGGTAATATTGGGGAAAATAAATCTTTAAGGCCCAATTATGTATGGTCACAGTGTAATTTAGGGTATGTAAGATTTGGTTTTTTTGGTCTTGTGCTGGCTTAATATTCTGATAGGGATTGTAATTTCTTGTTTCTACAAATGACTCCAGGAAATCCAGAAACTAAGGAAACACTAATGTATGGACCAGATGATTTTAATTTCTGTCAAGTTATCAAGATTACAATAGCAAGCGGTTTAAGAAAATACTGATAGAATATTGGCTATTTTTGTAGAAATGTTAGCAATTTTAGGTATATAATAGGTATATTCTTATTTTCTATAGAGATGGATAGCATCTGAATACCATTCCATCAAACTGCTTTTCAGATTCTGCAGTTCTCTTCTTCTGCTTAATCTTGGATTCTTTTTGTATTCTTTGTTTTTAGCCCCTAACTCCAAATTCTAATTTTCAAAACTGAAACATCTCAATCTATTTCTTTCTGGAGAATTCTAGCCATTGCACCAAATTCCTTTAATAAAGGAGTAAATTTACTGTGTTCGTGGGAGGAAATGGTTTGCATTGTATTCACTGTAAGTGGTTAGGTATGAGTCTCTTGAAGAAACCAGATTGTTAACTAAGAATGCTTTAATGTTGTGGGTGTTGTCTGAAACTAGAAGGTGGCATTTTCAAACTGACATTCCAAGTGATTATAAGGTAAGTACTCCTGGTTTTGTCAAAAGATTGAAGAATTCAGATGGTGAGAGATGTACTAAATGGAATTCCCCTTGTACAACCTTGCCCCCCCCTTCTTTATCTCCAACAAACCCCCAAACCTAAGCCATAAATATTATGTAATACTTTCATAGTTGACTTCACATTTTTGCTCCTATATCTTTTGAGACTTAGCATTATCTTATGTTGATCAGTTTTTACACATTAAATTTATTGTTTTCTCACAAAGGTGTAGTGATGGGGTAGTGATTGATGTTTATGAATTTTAAGTCTTTTTCCCAGTTTAGTTGGGGGGGCGGGTTAGTTTCTTACTAGGTCAGTCTTGTTTTTAAGCTGCAAGCCAAAAACAGTTCTTTACTACAGCAAATTAAAAGTTTTCAAGTTCCCAAAAATATTGCTTTGAATTGGGTTTTGGAGGTTATTTTCAGATTGTTACATTTATCAACATAGATTGTCTAATATGATAGCATGGCATGAGGCCCCCTTTTTTTTGCATTGATTTTTATGCTTAGATATTAGATTTAAAGGTAGCCTTCTAAGAGTCAAAAAACACTTAAACTTGCCTTTGCTGGAAAGTACTAAATGTCTTATGAATGTAAATTTGAGGGTACTGTTTTTGCAAGAGTTCACAAAAGTATGGGCTTTAGGCATGTCGGGTGGTGGTTTTTTCAGGGAATAGTTCCAGTTTGAGGATTTTTTTTTATCCAATTTTCTGGTAGAGTAGCTGCAGAAAAAGATAAAATAGCCCTTACAGTGATGAGTATTGGTCTTTATGACAGAACTGATGAGTTATTCTTTGCCCCCTCCCAATTTTTAAAATGTTAATTACCTTGGAATTGACCTAATGAGTTCACACGTTTTTAATGTTTCATGAATTTCATTTGTAACCCCTGGAATCTTTTTAACAGAAACTTGATGAAACAAGTTTCTGCTTATTTCTAAGTAGGAGTTCTCAACCAAATAATATTAGTCAAATAGTTGGTCTAGTGGATTTATAAAGTGGCCACTTGAACTTAGTAGTTGAGTTGAAATAAACCTAATATTTACATTATCTAATACTGTATTTTGTTCAAATATAAAAGGAAGAAGGTCGAGAAGGGGTAATGAATTAATATCAGGAAGGCATCCATACTGAAAAGTTGTGATATATAGAGCTTTGGCCTCCATTTCAGTATCTTCTGCGTCTAAGTTCTGTATCTGTACATAACATTTAGGAGGCCCTAAGAGGAAATCTGCTTGGGCATTCTGATTCCACGATTACATTTGTGCTGCCAGCAAACATTTCCCATTACATTTTAGTGATGGATATATTAAAAGAAAGTCAATTACTATGACTCCCTTAGAAAGCTATTTAAAATTTTTCCTGGATTAAATAAATAACTGACTTAAAAACTATTGAAAGTTATGCTTAATTACAAAAGACATCACAACACTTCCCATGATAGCCATTGCTGTCTTTATGCCCCAGTGGACATAAAGAAAGACATTTTTTAAAGAGGTTTTTTG